AATGATTTGAAGTATGCAGAGGTGAAGCCATTATTTTAAAAAATGTTCTAAGAGTAATTCAGATAACTACTGACCTGTTTCTGTCCTGCCTTCTTTTTCAAAGATATTTGAAAAAATTGCATTCAATCAAATGTCCTATTTTCTGGAATCTAATAACTTATTAGATTTAGATTATTAGAACAGTTTGGTTTTACGAAAAATCGAAGTACCACTTCCACTGTGGCTCATTTTGTAAATTCAATAACACAGAGCTTGGATGGGTCACAGAGCACTATTGGCGTGTTCTGTGATCTATCCAAAGCCTTTGATAGTGTACACCATCAAATTCTTCTTGATAAATTATCCTCCTATAGATTCTCAGAATCAGTTATTTTGTGGTTGAAATCATATCTAAATGATTGCTTTCAAAGAACAGCTATTATTAAAGAAAACATTAAGTATGCTTCTGAATGGGAAAAGATTGTTATGGGGGTGCCTCAGGGCTCTATATTAGGACCGTTATTGTTTTTGATGTACATAAATGATCTACCTAAGAATGTTAAACCTAGTTTTTTGTTATATGCTGACGATACGACAGCCATCATTAAATCAAAAGACAGTCATGAACTAAGTTTAGCCTTGAATCAAGCTCTTCAAGATCTATCAAAATGGTTTAAAGTAAACGGTTTAAAAATGAACCACATTAAAACACAAATAGTAAAATTTCAAACTGCACAGTGTAGGGACGATCTTGAAGGCTTTGTTTATTTTGATAATGAAAAAATATATCTTAGCAACATAGCTAAATTTTTAGGAATTGATGTAGATAGTTTATTGAATTGGAAGAATCACATTCATAACACCTCTAAAAAGTTAAATTCAGTATGTGTTGGTCTTAAGAAATGTTGTTGATTTTAACACTAGACTAATGATTTATCACGCTTTATTTTCGTCAATTTTACAGTATGGAATAGACCTTTGGGGCATCACATCTGATTCGTATCAACTTTTTAAACTTCAAAAAAGAATACTTAGAATTATGACTTTTAAACCCGTAAAACATTCTTGCAAACAACTTTTTAAAGAACCAAAGATTCTAACCGTCCCTAATTTGTATATTCTTAAATGTTTATTGTATGTGAAATCAAATTTTGAAAAACTCCACAGTGAAAATAATCGGCACAATTAGGCCTATAACAATAGATTTCATACAGATTTTCAATATCCTATACACAGATTAAATCTTGTGGAAAGGACACCTTCTTATATGGGTAAAGATTTTTTAACAATTTGCCTGGGTACTACAAATCTATAATAGGATTAGTATCTTTTAAAGAATTTTTGAATTTTTGTTGGAAAAGAATTATTATCGTATTGATCAGTTTCTCGAAGACAAATCAATGTGAATTGTTTGTTTTGTTACCTACTATGTATTTATTTTTACCAATATAAGCTAGTTTATTTTATTATAGTTTGACAATGTCACCTGTTTTGTCTGGCTGTGCCAGAGCATTTAAAAAAAAAAAACGTTTTGTGACAATAAAGTTGACTTTGACTTCACAGGATAATAACTTTGTTTTTTCCTCACCTTCTCAGATTATTCCAACGCAGCCTGATTTTACTTTAAGAAAACTGCAAAAATCAGCAGAGACAAGAGAAACGCAACCTGACTGTTTTTTAGACAATCGAGTCAGGATGTAAACTCCATACTCATCCTGCTGCACCAAAATACACAGGAAGTCTCAAATAAAATAAATAGACTACAGCACCTTTTAGAAGATACCAAACCTGACATAGTAATTCTGACAGAACACTGACTGAAACCTGACACAATAAGTAGCACCGTCATAGCTACTGGATTCTGCCTCAAGGCTTACTATAGTAGAATAGAACACAGAAAGGGAGGTGTGTGCATTCTTGTAATAGAAAGCCTTGAGAGCAGCACAGTAGCCATAGATGTTTCCAAGTACTGTAAAGAACTGTTATTTGAAGCAGCTCTTATAAAAATAAAATTCAAGAACTCAAATCTGTTTGTACTGGGAACCTACAGACCGCCAAACGGAGACCTTGAGGAATCATTAACCACCTTTACAGAACTAATTGAGGAAACAAAAAAAATGAAACTCTTGCTATGCACAACATTCAGAGACTACAGCTTCCACCTACAAGAATAACAAATCTAACACAAACCTCCATTGACTGGATATGTACAAAAATGGAACCAACTCACTCCAGAAGTCATCAATGCAGGACTTTCGGATCACACTGCTCAACTCTGTACTGTAAACTTCAACTCACACATCAACTCAAGTTATCCAGCCCAAATTGGACGCTGCCTAAAAAATAAAAACCTGCAAGACCTCAAGTATCTTCTCAGTAAAGAAAACTGGCTTAATGTTACATCAATAAACAATGGTGAAGAAGCTTTCAAAACTTTTAGTAACATAGTGAGAGTAGCTATGGATGCAGCCTGTCCCCAAAAGAAGATAAAAACACAAAGAAAACGTAAACTAAAATTCTCTATGGACCCAGAAGCAGTGAGACTCAAAGCCGAATTTCTTAAAGCTCTAAGAAAGTTTGAGGTGACGGGAAATCCAGATGACAGAAGGGTTTCTATTGAAAATAAAAAGAACTATGAAAACTGTACTTGAAAACGATGCGGAAAAAGGTTAACTCTGACCAGTTGATGAAAGCTGAAAATAAATCTAAAGCTATCTGGGAAACAATAAACACAGTGTGGTCCAAAAACGAAACATCCCTAAATGAAATAACCCTGCAAGTAGATGGCCAACTCATAAGTAATGTGACCCATGTTGCAGAGCATTTGAATACATTTTTTACACAGGTAGGAGAAAAAACAGTAGAGAAACAAAAACACCTAAAGAACACAGCTCAAACTCCACATTTAACTCAAACAGGTCCACCGTTTTCCTCCTTTCAAAGCACAGACGAGAAGGAAGTTAAAATGATTATAAACAAACTTAAAGCAAAAAACTCGTTTGGAATCGATGAAGTCTCATCAAAAATACTTAAGCATTGCTGCAATGAACTAGCACTACCATTGGCTGATTTGATAAATAAGTCCCTAAAACAAGGCATCTTTCCTTCACTACTTAAAATAACTAAAGTATACCCGGAATTTAAAAAAGGTAGCACATTAGAAGCAAGCAACTACAGACCAATTTCCCTTGTTTCCACCTTCTCCAAAATATACGAAAAAGTTGTTTTAAAAAGACTTTTAGACCACTGCACAAATCACAACCTACTAAACAACCTGCAACATGATTTACAAAAGGGAAATCCACAACAACAGCAATAATTCAGATGGTTGAGTCCCTGATTGACAGCCTAGCTGAAGGAAATCTAACAACAGGAATCTTTCTTGATTTCAGTAAGGCATTTGACTGCCTTGACCACCAGCTAATCATTAAAAAGCTGGATTCCCTGGGGGTATCAGGGATAGTAAGAGAATGGTTTCAAAGCTACCTTACAGACAGAGTCAGTTTGTAGAACTAAGGCACAGAGATAACAGCCTAATAAGAAAAGCAAGATAACATTTTCAACCAATAAATCGAGGAGTTCCCCAAGGGTCAGTTATGGGTCCGGTACTGTTTATTCTTTTTACCAACGATTTGCCGCAACAAATAGGAGACGCCTGCCTTACTCTTATGTATGCTGATGACGCAACCTTAGTGTTTTATGAACCACTAGCTGAAAATCTAGAAGTAAAATCCTATGTGTCACTCAGTATGGCCTACCAATACTGCTATAACAATGATCTCGCAGTAAACACGTCTAAAACAACTCAAATAGCTTTTGGCCGTAAATCTCATGAAGTGCCACGACTCCCAGATGTAGAAGTGGAAGATGAAGCTAAGTTTTTGGGCATCACACTCGACAAGAATTTAACCTGGACCCCTCATGTCGACAATATATGTAAAAAATTAAGTTCAACCATCTATGCTCTTAAACATATAAAAAAATGCAACAGATGACATGACAACAAAAGTAGCATACTTTGCACTTTTCGAGTCGCATATGAGATATGGACTTGTAGCATGGGGTGGAACCTCTGCCACTAACGTGCAAAGAGTTCTCAGAAAACAAAAAAAGGCAGTCAGAATAACTGCAGGACTCCACAGACTCGACAGCTGCAGGGAAGCATTCAGGTCACTCAAAGTACTTACCCTTGTAGCACTCTACATCCAGGAAGTTGTGTTATTTGCAGTAAGAAATAACCCTACAAGGTGTGGCGAAATGCACCAACACAACCTGAGAAACACCATGCAGTACAACCTTCCACAACATCGCACGACACAGTTTGAAAAGAAACCTTCATACGCAGGAATGAAAATCTACAACAGGCTACCTCCAGATCTAAGAAGCAAGTCAGAAGATGACCTCAAACCAGCTTTGCATCAATGGCTCATTAATCGACCTTTCTATTCCTTAAAAAAATTACCATCAACAGGTCTTTGACTAAACAACACCTCAACCACACATTTAGATAAAATTGTAAATTGACGCTACTACTATTCTTAATGAATGTGTAAATAAAGATTAATTGTCTATTGTCTATTGTCTATTATTTTTGTAACATAGTTTGTCCAAATAATGGTGCAATATGACAAAAAATATAGTTCATCACACATGCTAAAAGTGTCTTTTCAACCATCGCTCATTTACCAACCTCAGCGAACTCCGGTCGAAAAGAGTCACTTAGTGATGAAATTTCATTCAGTCACTAAACGTAACATGATGTTATTTAAATAGAAAATAAATATTAAAATTACTTTCTTTAATTTTACTTTTGATATTTTATCTTTATCCTTCGATTACATTTTTCTTTTTACAATTGAAATTAAATACAAATTGTTCTTAAATATTTCAATTTTGAGTACAATATGAACTGATAGTACTAAAACGACAGTATAGCATACTGATATCTTCATGTTTTAAATACTCAATGTAAGTTATTAAGAGTGTTTAAATATTGATGAAATAGATATATGTATACGCACCTTGTTTTTCAACAATGACAGAGGGAGACATGGAGTCATCTTCTTCCGTGAGAAGATTTAGAGAACTCCATTTCGCTAGTGAGGCAGAGTCTTCTAAACAAAAACAACAATTACAAGCATTGCACTTATTTTTGTGTATTATGTTGTGTACTTGTGTCTTTCTATCTAACTATGCTTTATCTCATTAAAGTAATTTCCAGACCAATAAAACTGAGTTTGAACAATTTTAATGGACTTTACATATCCAAAAATATGATCAATGAGATCTCAAAGATGAATTCGAACTTAAATTTTTGATATATTTAGAAAACAATCGTTACTGGTCATTTCTTTCTCCAATACTACTGTAACTGTATGTAGGATTGATTTATAAATCCAATAAAAAAAAACAAATTATAATATTTAAAGAAACAAATTGTAATCCAATATTTGATGATAAATAATAACTTGTAAGTAATATTGTACATAAAATGTCTTCTTTTACATCATGTAACTCTGTTTTTTCATCACTCTGTATTCGAAAATAGCCCATTTTCATACAGCGGAGATCTTCAAAAATCTTCAATTTCCATACACAAAAAAACTAATTTAACCACCTAGTAGTATGGGCACAGACTACGGGTGATCAGCTGACTTTTCCTGACATAAACATTACTTTCGCCACGCAAACAATACTTTGCCTGACATCAACAAAGTTACAACTGAAGTTCCCGGTTAACTCAAAAGGTGCGAGCACCATTTAAAATACATAACAGAAAATTGATTTATTTTCTTTTTCTATCAGCTGAATTTTTTACTAAAATTAATGAATTGTACAGCAGTATTGTGTTTGGATTAGAAAAATAAATGGTTAACAAAATATCCAATAATTTTTTTAAAGTTTGATGAAGTGTTTGTTTTTTCATTGTGATAAAAAGTATCGTTCAATACTCGTCATGAAAGTCCAATTTTGGGGCTCGATAGTGTTTTTCTTGCGAGTCGAAGACCTCAAGACTCACCCCGAAATGGGTCACTTTCGTGACTAGTAGTGAAATATACTATTTCCCAGTATTAAGTCAATCCATAGTTGTAATGTCAACAATAAAGAATTTTGTACAAGTAACATTGATAATTTAATTCATATTAGTCAAATTTACTTTAAAGTATCAAAGACACAGTTCTTCAAAATGGTCAATAAGAATCAATCAATACTAACTCATACCTTTACAAGAAGTACCATTACAAGACATTTAAAATAATAAAATAATAAATGATAAATAGGTTAGGCAATGAGACTTATTTGGCTTTTTATTAAAATAAAACATCTATACATTTATGCTTATTAAGATACCAATACAGTAATGGTTTAATGAAATGTCTACTGGAAAAAACATAAGATCTTAACTGTAGTTTTGATGGGTTGTTTTTTTCCTACGGTAAACAACAACAACAAAAAAACATAAAAATACCCCCGCCGCAGCAAACCTGCAGACTTAGCGAATTTCCATATGCCTGATTGGATTTACACTAAAATGTCTCCTTAATATCACATTTATTCCCTATTTAAATAGAATTAGTTTCGAGTACCTACTTAGGTTTGCTGCAACAGGGAGGGTAAAAACGTGTTTTTTTATTGTAAAATTTTAATACGTACTGTAGTTTAGTAAGAAATTAATGTATTTTCCAAATTTGATCAAAATATGTTCATAAACAAGCAAACTACAACAGTTGACTTATTCTCCATAAAAATAACATGGGAATTTTAAAATTACAATTTTTTTGAATTTTCTCCGTAACCATTAGGCGGATAATAACGCTTCATTATACTAAATTATTTGTTTTTTAAGCTCTAAAAATCATTTAGAAAGAAATTGTGAAATTTTGTTTTTTGAGGTCAACAATGGAAAAACCCTATTTTTACCCCACAAAACCCCCATAAACCCCCGTTCCCATAGTCCGATCATGCTAGTTCGCGAACTCATTCAAGTTTATCCTGCTTTACACCTTTAAACCAAATTTCATCAAAATTGGACAAAAAATACTCAAGTTATCGCGTTCACGGACACATATATATATATAAATCTATATATATATACATATATATAAATTTGAACGAATGGTGTTTTTGGCCTCTAGGGACATCAAAATGAAAAAGTAAATCGGTCCCGGGCCTAGGTCTTACCATGACACCTACGGTAATAGCTACTTTCCCTATAGGGAAATTCGCTAAAACTGCATGGCATATTTTAATAACATATGAAATACTGTTATTAGAATTGTTGAATCAAACTATACTCATACTGTATTGTTAAATGTCAGATGATTTGTTGTAAATTAATTTGTTTATAATACTAAATTGAATTTTTTTTTACTTCTTAAACAATCTTATGAGGAATTATTTAACTAAAGATTTAAAAGTGTAACAATGAATAAAGAAATAGGGCAAATCAACATAATATAAAGATTATAACACCTAGATATAAAAGAGATGCACTATACAAACAACGCTACTACTAAAGGATTGAATATAGTTATGTGGGGAACTGAAAATGTGTCAAAAATGTAAAAACTTGTTAAAGGAAATCGGAATGAAAAGTACAAGGAAATCTCTCTTAGTATTTATGTAGTTGGTTTTGAATTTGGCGTGACAATTGTTTTTGACACATTTATCAGAATGTATTCCATGGAGATTTGAAATCAAGCCAGAATAAGCAATAACAGACGTCAGAAATAAAATAAGTTGACCTGTTGATAGGTTATGAAAATCTAGTTTGCATGGAATGGTTGAAAATTCAAATTGGTATCCACACTTAATGGCAAGAAAGATGTTGTTAGCAAGCATAATATTTAAAGAAAATTTAATTTAAAGAAAAATCATATTGCAAATTAAGATCATTTTTACTTTCTCCCCCTATACCTAGTAGCCTATATGAAGAAAGTATTGTTTTCGTCAAAATTTTCAAGTTTGGGTTTTGGGTCCCTCTAAAAAAACCCATAAAATAAGAGAAAATCATATTTAAAAAAAAACCTGTTTTGATTGAAATTAGTATGTGATGGTTGTTATAATTCTTAACAACATAGTGCAGCTCCTATATCTGTAAGAACTATGGTTCAAAAGTTATTGTAACTTGTGTTAACCATAAAACCCAATGAAAAAACCGGAAAAATAGATTTAAAACAACCGATTCTGATTGATATTTGTCTGCTATGGTCCTTAGAATTGTAAAAAAATAGTGCAACCCACCAATCTTGTAAAAAATTCTGTTGAAAAGTGAATGCCACTTTTTATTTGTGATTTTGATTTTACCTAATAAATGTCATAGTCAGTTACTCTCATCTCTTACTGATGATAAAGGTTGTTGACAATCTAATGGGAGAAAGTATGTGTCAGATTGCTGATACCGTTTATTTGACTCATGTTTTAGAATCATCACCTCAAAGTCTCAAAGTTAAACATAGAACATTAAAGATTAACCAAACATTGTTATTCCATGCACCTCTTGTATCAGTAAAAAATTATAGCATTAATTCTTCATTTCTATAAATTATCAACTAGACATAAGTAGAGGCATACTTTGATGAGTAGCAATAGAAAAATTAGAAAAGTGAAAAAGTCTGTGATCGTGGCCAAATTATGAACATCATCATCATCTTCAGCGATTATGGCAAAATCATTAACATCTCCTTAGCTGTGTAGACGTCATCATTATCTCCCGTGGTCACCGAAACGCCATTGTCGTTTTGAACAATCGCGGCTGTAGTGGTAATTTTCCGATCGCGCAGGCGTGACGGGAAAGGTTATCGACTTTTGACAATCGATTCTCAATAAAAATAAAAATACAAACACAAAGTTTACGTTTGGAGGTTTTTTACCAACGTCCAAGTATCAGTGGTATCGAGAATCAACACATCCCTAACTAAAATATATATACTGGACATTAATAAACCTTATCAGGTTTGTACTTGAGAAAGACAAAAGGTAGCAAAGCAAAGGGCTGAAACAGTACATTTATTCAGGCATTTTCCAAGTCTCCACGGAGATATAGGGTTCTCTAGGGGCCTACCTACAAGCAAAGGGTGAGAGAGAAAGATAGAGAACGTACCCTTAATGGCAGGGATAACAAACCCTGGGAAAAAAGAATCGATGAGAGCAGCTAGCAAACCATCTTAACTCAGCCCAAGACACATAGCTTATCATATTTTATAAATGGTAAATAGTTTTGTATACACGCTTTAGTTGTTGTATTTTAAAAGGTGTATGCGTTTGTAGATAAACATACGATAATTCGACAAGCCACAAGTGATTGCTTTGAGTAATATATGTAATTTTTTGTGCCAAAACATTTTATTTTATTTGTTCACATTCAAAACAAAAAGTCCATAGAAGTTAAGGAATTTCTTTATTCATAATATACAACTCGACATAGATATAATAAGTTGTGAAAAAAACTACAAAAATTACTGGGTTGGAAATAAAAAAATGTTTACACAAATAATACAAAAACTCAAATTTTCTATTTTACTGAACAAAACAAAAATTAACAACAGAAAAATGTGTGGTTAAAGAACATTTGAAAAGGTGTAAAATTTTATTAACAGCACAAATTGCTTTACCAAAAGTTTAAACATAGTATAAATTAAGTAAAAACTTGGGCCAATAAATAAATAGATGACTATTTTAGCAAGTGAGCCAGTTTTATTGGCAAACATATTCGTATAAGTGGTATATGGTATAAGTGGTTGTTGACAATGAATTTACTAAAAAATAACATTTGCTGTGTGTCTAATTGAAATGTGTGCCTGTTCTAAAATAACTAACAACATAGCTTGGTTTCAATAATCTTACTTGTCATTGTGTTACTTTTAAATTTGGGCTAGTATCATAAAATAAAAATGCACTAGACAACTGGCAAGGTTGAAATGTTGTGTACATAACTGAATTATCAGACGAAAAAGATATGTGTCTTTGGACTTATGTATCTACACCACAGCATGCACTGAACGGTGTTCTTGAAGTATAATTTAAAACATTTCTTCTTCGATTAAAAACAGACACTGAATAGTGAATAGGCATTTTAACACTCTGTAAATGAAACAACATTATACAAGCTTTATGAGTTAATTTAAAAAGGCTACTGATAGGTGAATGAAGGAATCTAAAAATTTGTTAACAGTACAAAAAAATAAGGGGTTTGAACAGTAAAAACAAATCCTCTTTTGAGGTATTCAAATAAATTTGTAAAGACAAGTAAAAATCATTCATAATAATAGAACAAATATTCAATTACCAACCAAAATTAAATAGTAAGTGAACAACATTTATACACACTCCATGCTTAAAGTACTAACATGTCACATAGTTTTGTGAGTTTCTGTTAGTTTCATAAAATAAGTTGAAACAGACTAAATAAAATACAATAAATACTTCCAACTACAATGTATAAATTTTACATTCTAAAGGTCTTTACTATTTTAAGATCAAAACTATCATTCATCAACAGGTAAACTACCCTGGATCCAAGATGATTTAGTAGCAATTACTTGAAAATACTACTTACTAGCTAAACACACAGGGGTTAGGTGAGTTTTAAAACTACAAAAATGTACAGATATTACAATTTTTAGTCAAAATAAAAATGTAGGTATTAAAACTGTACAAAATTATTTTATAATTCTTTTGTGTACCATGTGAGTTGTTGTGAAAAGTACAACTTGGAAACTTTTCAATAGCCAATTGTTTAAAAAACGTATCAACAGTCAAATATATTTGGGTTAGATTTATCTGACAAGTCCAAGGATAAAAAATATTCATCAGTAATCAGACAGAATTGTACTAAACAAGACATAAACATAAAAGTGTTTAAGAAAATATATAAAAAGTAGGCTATTTAAAAAATATTAAACGCCAATAGACAATTTGTGAAAAAGCATACCAAACTTACCCTGGCAGTCGAAGAATTCGTCATCATCGTCGCAACTGTCGTCGTCGGAATCTCGGACGATGCTCTCCATCCGCCATGATGCCGTGGCAATGTCAAAGCTCTGCGCCGTCGTCGGAGACAGGTGAGCTTTGGAGTTACTCCTCGTCCAAACGGCTCTACGATTCTCTTGGAGGTCCCTGCGAGCAAACAGGGATAATTTTAATCAGGGCCACTTTATTAAACGGGTCCAGGGGTGCAAGGAAGAGAAAAATTCCCCCACAAGTGTGGAGCGCAATGATCTCTCAGGTCCATAGTGCATCAAATAAAAACAGCGGGCCTGATTTAAATACATGGTACACTTTAAAGGTGAACACTGTCTAGAAGAGCATTTACTCACAAGCATTGTGTTACTCTCTCTTCAAAAGTACACTAGACATGTAGTTTTTAGTGAAAATAGTTTTACTGACTGTCTTTTTATTACAATATGAGAAATGGTTATGATGTAGCAACACCGTTTATACGCTATCATGAAATTTTTTTAAAGATTTTGCTGTTGCTGTAAATCATGACAATACCTTCCATAACTACTGTCATACACAATTTTCCCTCAATAGAGGATTTGATTTACACGTCAAGTTCCAAAGTTTTTAGATGATAAATTTTCATAAAAATTTGTCTTTGGATCCTTAATTTTATTTTTCATATTAATTCCTTTAATGCACAAGAAGTTTGTTAAGTTGCTGACAGCAACTTAACCTATCCACAGGCTTTTGGCTTCAGCATATTTAGGTCAGTATATTCCCCATTCTATGTTAGTTTATTTGTTTTGGCAAAAAGTTCTTTATGTACGTTTTCATTATTATTCCTACTTTGCCCTACCTGTGCATGATGTCTGAGGGAGAGTCGTCAGGACTTGCGTCGCTGCTGGTGTTGTTAGGTTTGTTGTCTCTGTGGCTGGTCACCGGACTCGCCACCTCAGGCTCTGTCTTCTCTATGCTGCCCAGTGTCACGGCCAGAGACTTGTTGGTTGTCGGTGTCGCTCCTTCCCCATCTTCCTTACTTCCTCCCTCCCCGTCCTCCATACCTGCAGGAATGGGAAGATTATCCATCATTATCAGTTATAAGGTCGCCAGTGTTTCAATATAGTACAGTGTCACAAACTGGACCAGAAGCTACGTTATCCATAAAGTGGGAGGAAAATTAATATTAAGTCATATTAATAACATTTCTCTTTTATTTATCATACAAAAAAACTACATTTACAACACAACAACATTTAAATACTAAAGTTTGACTTGCTAACTTTTTACCATAAATTTTAAGGTTATGGTGCTAGAAGTTAGTCCTTCTTCATATACGAGGCATGTTTTTTAAGTAAGTACCGTTTTTAAATTTCTCCGTTCCAGCACTGCGATTGGCATTTTCGACATTTGCGCTGTGTATGGGCATCTATTGGTAATACCTAGCCGGAAATTCGAGAACAATCGGCCGTGTTTACGTCCGGTTTCGAGCATTCAAAATGGGCGGCGTCTACTGTCCCCGTGCCCAGTGTGTTACTCATCGTGAACGTTGGTGGTACCGTCTTTAAATGCCCTTACCTACTTGCGTACCATTCCGTCACTCATAATGTTCTCGCCATACACTTTACTAATCTGTCCATGATATTCAATAGCTTTCAAACCTTTAGCACTTAAAAATCTAATTACAGCGCGCACTTCACAGCCGGCGGCAGTCTCAATTGGCGGCAACATTTTGAATGCTTGTAACCAGACGTAAACACGGCCGATTGTTCTCGAATTTACGGCTAGGTATTACCAATATTTGCCCATACACAGTGCAAATGTCGAAAATGCCAATCGCAGGGCTGGAACGGAGAAATTTAAAAACGGTACTTACTTAAAAAACATGCCTCGTAGTTACTTCAAGATATATTGACTGCCAAGCACTCCAGTCGTCAGATATGCATGATTCACATATCCTGGTTTAAATGTCCGCAAGTGGCGCTGAGTACAAATGAGGATGGTAAAATACTGTGTAGCTATTGAAGCCACCACGTTGTGTAGTCTACCCCCAGGGTCATCATTATTACAAGTGTAGGGTTATGCGGAACTTTTATGTAAAAATTCTTTACCTGTTCATCAAGAAATCCGTATTGCAGGAATTTTGGATTCCAAGTTTGTGTAACTTTACTGTAAAACTGAAAAACTTAATTTTTAATTCAAGGAAGAATATTAAATTTTGTTAGATGAATAACTAGTGGTTTTGATCAACAAATTAGCTTAACTTAGTCAAAAATAACTCTTAATCTAATCTACTTACTTTCTTAACACTACCATTTTAATTCCTGTTGTAGAATTTAAAACTAAGTACAGCAGAAAATCCTGTAGGTTCGGTTGGAGCTAGAATTAATCTGACTAATCCAATGATCCACCTAATTAAAACAGAACTAGAAGAAACAATAATAAAAACAGTAAATAATCTAAAAAGATAATTATTAATCAAGAACAAGACTTGCTAGACATTTTATACAGTTTCAAACATTACCAGCCATGGTTGCCTTGAGAGCTTCTTGTGTTTGTTTTTCTATTTGTCTAATGTCTTCCATAGTCAATCCATACCACTCGTCCTGCCACGCCCAAGCTTGTCTGTGAGCTCTCAACATGGTCTTCCTCAGAGCTGCCAACAGAACATGAAAATTACCCATTTGTCAACTAACAAGTCAACATTCATACAAGCCCAGCTAGTTAACTTCTAACAGGGCTGGGTCAAGGACCATACGGCTGCATGGTGTGCACTACGGAGAAGAGGCCTATGCGCTGAAAAGGCTGATAGATTTGGCGAGACCCACGTCGGCATTGACGAAGCGTCCATGGCCTCATTAAAATTTGTCAAAATTTGTGAAACATTTTGTATTTAATTTTTAAAAACTTTGTTTTATATACATGGTTGCCTTTTTCAAGTTATAAAAGAAACAACTTATTTCCGTTTGGAGCTTCTTTTAGGGACAGGTAACCTACACTACTATAGCTATCCTTTCAGGGTTGGTGCTCTTTACTTTCGTCAGTATTTTGCCTTCTTAAGACTAGATCACCTTTTGGGGACCAAAAGAATTTCCCCATTTCTATTTTAAACCTAATTTGAATTTTATTTTAAGATTAGACAACCCACACTGCTTTGGATCCTTTCAAATTTGCTGCTATTAAATACTTGTGTGGTTTTGTAGCTGTCGCAGCAGAAACCAAAACACTATATACTTAACTGATGATTCATTACTAATAATTCACAAAAATAGCTTGAATGCAGCTACTGGTTTGCAGTGTTCATTGCCTAAGATCAACGGAAAAGTAGCAAATTACACTTCTCTAGATAGCACCATTGACTATTGGATACTGAAGTAGACATCCCATCTATATCCAGCTGTGGCCAATTTAAAAAAAAAAAACGTAGTTGTGTGAGCCAGTCACAGAATGCGCTAGTGTCTAAAATTCTATTTTATACCTTATTTTTGTCGCTAACCAGGTTGATGGGTCATAACAGTTGCTATAGCTCACCATAAGTCACTCCCTAAGTTTGATTTGGTAAAAAGGTTTGTGTATTTGACAGAATTTAGTAATTTAGATCAGCGAAATCCGTCGGTAGCTCACATCAATTACGACGACTTTGTTAAAAAGCCTGGCTACAAATTTAACATGGGGATGGAATGTCTAGTTGTATTAATTAATAGTCAAAGATAGCACCCGAAAATTCTGTATTAGATTATACTCTACAATCACGGAAATATCACAATGATCGTGGTCCAGCCTCCCAATCACATCAACATCCTAATCATCTCCTGTAATGTCATGGCAATCTCTTGCATTCACCGAAATATCGTGATCATTTCTAGCGATTAATTTAAATAGTTATTTCCTATAAATTTACTATTTACCTAATTTAACTTATATCATAGTTTGTTGTGTCAAGACTTACCAACATCATGAATGAACTTCTCTAGTTTGGTCTGCATGCCCCAATACCTGAACTCCACCTTACATAGCTTGTAGGCACACATTAGCGATTTCCCATTGAGAAGAGGCATTTGTTTCCCCTTTGAAAACAAATAGAAGGATATATGTTTGATTAACTTGTGCTAGAAGCATACAATTCAATGCTTTAAATTATATGTATGTGAGCAGCTCGATTTTGGAGCATAGCCTAGCCTAAAACTTAACTCAAACTCAAGATTTTTTTACTATAATTTACTTATAAGCAAATATAAAAAACACTGTTTTGCAACCTCAGAACTTGATTCTAATATAGGACAAAGATGTAGTTTGACAACTTAAGATTGGAAATGGTTAGTAGTAATTGAATATAATATTAATATGGTTACTAGGAGGCTAGATGGAAAGGTGTTTAGTGTGTGCATCCAGAACAATAATCAAAGGATATTAATTGTGGACGTTAGTAGTTAATTTGAACTAATACTTCTTTTGCTACCGATTGTAAATAGCCATGTAATGTTAAACCTTTTTTTTCGACTTGAGAAGGATTGTGATGTGATAGCCTTAATTATAACAGACAAATTTGTATAGGACAATATGTAATGAAAAACAAACAAAAACATAGACTGGAATTATTGTCCTTTAAATAAAGAAAATAATTTATTACAATCAGATCATGTCTCCATTTGAGTTCCGACTGATTAATCAGACTAAAAAATAATTTGTGTTCACTGAAACAGATTACTTTAAAATAAAACCTATATTCATTGGGTTAGATTGTGTACAACCAATGCCACCCCACCTTGCACTCATTCCAGTAGTCCTGCAGCCAGTTTTCTGTCAGAGGCCCCCGACTTGTCTTCTGGCTCTGGTATATCGTAGGGTCTTCCTCTCTAACATAGTCTCCCCCGTACAGTTGATCTTTCACCACATCAATCAAATCTACAAGTAGGCAAGGGGTAACAGAGATGGTGACGACAACTTTGAACGTAAAAGAATTACATATAGATAGGTTATGAAATTTTTTTGGTATTATGGCTTTAGGGCCAGGGTTTTTAAGGATTTTGTAATGGATATGTTTAAAAGCAGGATTACAAAACTAATAAAAATATATGACAATAATCAAGCTTGCTTAAGGATATATTTTGATCAATTTTGGTAAGTTTATTTATTTCATACTAAGCTTTTATGTTTAATTAAAAACACAATATACTACCCTACCTGTTGCAGCAAACCTAAGTACTCATTCAACCTAATGTTTTTGATAAGGAATGAACCTGACAAATCTAAGGAAATATTTTAGAGAAAAGCCAATCAGGGAAATAAAAATTTGCTTTGTCTCCAGGTTTGCTGCGGCGGGGGTATTTTATCTATTTCTCTAAATATTAATTTTATATTCTAAAAGAAACTACGATAATATTTGTTTACAAATTTGCTTTCTTTCCAACAGTCCAACCACAGGCATATAGCCCATTTGGGGATTATATTTCATAAATCGTTTTTAGTACCATTGAACTGATGTACTGTACTGAAATAATAAAGAATTCATTCATTCATTCATTCATTTATTCATTCAGTGGAGAGAGTCTTATAATCTATATTAACAGATCTACTTGATTACATATTTACAAGAGTATTAACTACTAAGCGACTGACCAATGATCCTGTTGCGCAGTTCACTACCACTCAGTTGAAAGACATTCTCCTGATTTCCGTTGTCCGGCAGATATTTGGTCTCTATCTCCAAGGAGAACTTCTCCACAAACGGACAAGTGTAGCGTGTTTTGGTGTAAGGGTAAGCATTCCACGCCTCTTCCTCCACACTGAGTGCTGACTTGGGCAGAAGAGACTTGATCCATCCTGATGCAAACAATAACCTTTAATTTGCTGGATTAGATTACTACACTACACTGGTACTAAAAGTGATGAGGGGTGATGGTTTGAAACTTTATTATGCATACTCCTTATTCTCATAGACTCTTTTCAGTTCAGATTAGTTTAGTCTGAATGGTGTGGAAGACATAGTAGGCCTATGTTTGACTGTCACATCACACTTGCACTCATCCGCTGCTTTGTTGTAGCCTTTTTAACCCTCGGGTGCTTAACCTTTAAAACGTGAGAAAGCACTTGCCGAAGCTTTTTTCACATCACGTAATCATACAAATTTATTTAATTTTATTTTATTTTATCATGTAATTTTGCAATTAAATTATAACTAAATTTATAATGAACCAATTTAGTTTAAAATTCTAAATTGAACAACAATTAGTCATGAGTAATATTTAAAAAAAGATAATGAGTTTAAAAAATAGTTTTTAGTGGTTTTTAAGGTCAGTGTAACGGGAGAGGGTGCATGCTGAGATTTTATCCACAATAAAATTGTGTTTATTGCAGTTAAACTCAATACAGGCATTGGCAAGCGTCACAATCAATAAGTATACAAAATAAACATGTTGCATTGTTTTCACTAACAACTAAAATCCTCAATACTATAAAAACAATTGCAAATTAAAAACTCTTTAAGCTGTCTCTTAAATTTACAAAAGTCCATTTCACTCCTGAAATTATTTGGGAGGGCATTAAAAAAATGATAGAATTGTAAAACATCTGATAAAAATCTTGTTTTATACATTTAATTTGGTATAAGATGCCGATAAAGTTAAGAGTTTTTCTTAGGAAAAAGCAGTGTATGAAAAATGTAAACACACGGAAAAGTAAAACCCGTTTCAGAAAAAAAAATGCTTTCATGATTAGGGCCTATTTTTTATTGAGATGACCTAAGACTCTGATGGCTTTCTTCTGCATCCTAAAGATTGGTTTGGTGTGGACGATTTCGGATCCCCAAATACCAACGGCATATGACAAATGTGGATATACGAGGGAAAAATATACAGTTCGCAAAACATCTCTGCTCATAAATTTTGAAAGTCTGCAAAGAACAAATGGTGAAGATCCTGACTTCGCAGTCACACAATCAGTATCAGAGAAATAGTTCAGATTCCTATTGATAGAGATGCCTAGAAATTTGACATTATGTTCGGACTCGACCTCCACGTAATCCACGTGCAAAGTCATTTCCTCGGATAGGTGAGATGCAATCCTAAAATCAACTAAACTAGTCTTTTTTGTATTCACAATTAGATTGTTGTCTAAAAACCATTGAAGAACGGCATTGGACTGAAGAAACACTTTAATCTCCAAGTTCTTCCGACATTTATCCTTTACAAATGTGTCATCAGCAAACAAAAATATCTCAGCATCAGACACACTTTGTGGAATATCATTTATGAATGTGATAAATAATACGGGACCTAAAATTTGTTGAATATTCCGAGAATTTACAAATTATCACTAACTAGAAAACTATAAAAAGTTATTTTAACAAAAACCTGAATGATGTTGTTTATTCAAATTCAACTTTAAGACTAACAAATCATCTGTTAATAAACAATAAATTAATATTAAACACAGACTGTTAGAAACATGATTAGAGATATAACTAAATCTCAACACTTTCCCTCATATTTATAACTGCTTCAATAAAGTTTATTTCAACCCCATAGCTTCACACACGGTCTTCAGTCGTGGTCTGTGCTGTGGTTTGGTCAAACAGTCTGCTAACTGAAATTCTGCTGGCATATGATTAACGGCCAGTTTGCCTTCTGAAACCATTTCTCTCACAAAGAAGTGTCTAGTCTGAATATGTTTCGTTCTTCTATGATTCTCAGGGTTTTCAGCTAGGCGTATTGCTGCTATGTTGTCTATATTCAGGATTGGCAACTGCTTTAGATTTATCATATCCTTTAGCAATCTAACAAGCCAAATTATTTCCCTACAAGCTTCACTTGCAGCAACAATTTCAGCTTCTGTACTTGAAATAGCTACAAATGATTGTTTCTGACTGAACCATGTTATAGCTCCTCCACTATACATGCAAACAACCCCAGTTGTCGAACGTCCACTGCTATTGTCCCCAGCATGATCAGCATCACTGTAACATTCTAGCTGTCCTGATTTATAATTTGACTTATATTCCAAAGATAAATTCATTGTACCTTTCAAGTATCTTAGTATCCTTTTAACTTTAATCCAGTCTTCATATGAACGATTCTCCAATGACTGAGATGCTTTCCCCACAGCAAAAGCAATATCAGGACGAGTTCCGGCATAGACTAACCAACACAAGTAGACTTCTCATCCCATTGTAAATTTTGAAGCACGATTTTCGTGTCTAGTTGATGTACGTGACACAAAGGCGCTAGTGTCGATGAAACTTGTTTCCATTATTTTAGGGTTAATTTCTTGATTTGTGCTTTACTGTTTGGTTATATAACTAGGGGACAAGTTATTGTTTATGATTAGATTGTATTATTTAGTTAAACAAGGTTTTAAATGGCTGAAATAACGGGAAACAAATTGTAAACAAAACACGACCTCTACATAAACCGTACAGAACTATCAATAAAATTGTCTTCAGCTGTTCGATAAGGATGAGAAATCTACTAAGGGAGTATGTTTTATCTATGGTTCCGGTCACCAGATACATACATGCTCCAACACATTCTCTGTAGGGGAATTCTTTAGATTTCACTTTTTCTTCAAGGTCTACTTTCCCTACTGTTGTGTCCTTTATGATAGGGGTCATTGCGGGTTTACAGTCTTCCATGCCGAATCGTTTCAGAATTCTTTTGGTATATCCCTCCGGGTTAATTCTTATAGATCCACCTTCTTCTTGCTTTATTTCTAGCCCAAGAAAGTAAGATGCCGGTTTTTCTACTATTTTCAACTCTTGTTTCAAGTCTTTCATGAAGTCTTCGAGCATTTCAGGATCCGTTTGCGGTTCATGTATGTCACTTCATGTGTATGTCTTGTTCATGTATATGGCACATTGCAAACATTACATAGTCTTCAAGTCTCTTGGGAGCTTTGATGTCTTCACGCTTTCGCAACTCGTATTTCGGACTATCTTCTCTTTCTGATTCTTCCTCAGAATCCAGTCCAACGATATTTTCCCGAGTTCCTACTTCTTTTGAAGTATTTCCTTCTTGAGGTTTTGATGGTTCATGGTTTGGTAACTGTAACAAGGGTCTCTGAAATAATGGTTCTTCATGAAAAGTTACATCTCTTGATCTAATCAAAGAGTTATTTTCCTTACACCAAATTCGATATCCATCGTTATCATCATAACCGATTAAGATCCCTTTTACTGACTTCTTTTCCATCTTTTTTCGTTTAGGTTTAGGAACATGTGCATAGCAATTGCATCCTATGATCCTTAGATTCTTTATTACTGGCTTCTTTCTTGACCACAGCTCAATAGGGCATATCTCTTGTACACTTGATGGACCAGTTCGGTTTAAAATGTAGGTCGCTGTGTTAACCATTTCAGCCCATAACATTTCTGGTATTGTCTCATGGGCGTGCATCATTGCTTGTGCTGTCTCCACCAATGTCCGGTTGTCTCGCTCACTACAGCCGTTTTGCTAAGGCGTGTATGGCATTGTTAACCTGTGCTTAATCCCATGATGCTGTAATATTTGTCTCACAATACCACTATCAAACTCACCACTGTTGTCACTTAATATTTCCTTTACAATCACTCCTGTAGTCTTACTTTCAGCCAAAAACTGCTTAAGTTTCTCTGGTACTTCTGACTTCTGCTTCATGAAATACACCTGTCTGTATATAGAGAAATCATCTTTAAACAGTACAAAGTATCGATAACCTGATACTGAACTTACAAATGGACCACAGACATCTGTGTGAATCAGCTCACCAGGCTTAGTCGCTTGTTTTCGAGTACCAAACTTCAACCTGTGACTTTTACCAAAAATACATCCTTCACACAACTCACTGTCCAGTTTCAGCTTTACTCCAAGTTCTCGTTCAATTGTAGCTTTCACATGACGTTTATTTTGGTGTTCTAAACGTTCATGATAGATCTGCAACAAGTTCTCATCTGAAGTTAGTTTGTTGACTTGAATGGAGTTCAGTGGTTTGATTGCTCTCAATGCTAGCTTGTACAAACCCCCTCTCCTGGTGCGTGAACCAAACAGTTTTACCTCACCATCAACTTTCAAAAAACAACTTTCAGTTCTTGAAATGAACTCACTCTTGAGATGCAAATCTTGAGTGGCAAGCACAGAAAATAGGTTTTTCTTAATACTAGGTACATACCAGACATCAAGAAGTTTATGTTTCATCCACTTTCCATTTACTGCTGCTTCCACCTCTACAGTACCATTCCCTAGAGCACAGATTGACTCTCCATTTGCTGTCTTCATCACTCGACTGTCTACAAAGGGCTCAAAGGTCTGAAATAAATCTTCTTTAAAAGTTACGTGATTAGTTGCTCCGTTATCTACATACCAGCAATTTTCATCAGAGCCTTCAGTTAAATTTACTTGTCATGAGACCCATGTTCATTCCAGAATCTCCTCCCTCTCATTTGCTAAAGTTAGATATCTGATTGGAAGGTTTGACTGGCCTACCATCAGCTTTCCACTTATTACATTGCCTAACTTTATGACCTGATTGCTTACAATAATGGCAAACTAAGCATTTCTTATGTTTACTGTCCTTTACTCCTGAATTCTTACTCAAGGCATGGTCATTAATCTTTCTTCCAGATTTTACCACTAAAGCCTCACTACAGTTTTGCTCATTTCTGGCATTCAATGCTTTTTCATATGCACAAAGCTGTGTAGTAAGTGTGTCAATGGTTCTCTCAGACTTCCCCATTAACATCCAACTAGACTTAAATGAGAAAAACTCCTCCGGTAAAGTGTCTAGAATTTTGCAAATTAGAAATAATTCAGGTAAGTTACAGTTACTTTGAGTGTCTTTACTAATTTCTAGCT